ATTCTGTGTTCCTTGTCCTTAAGCCAAGTTTTAATAGTTTTAATCCAGTTCAGTGCTTCTTTCCTTGTGCTGTACATGCTGACCTTGGGAATAATTCCCCAATCCTAAAGTTTAGCCTAAATCTGGATAGATGCTGTCTCTTTTTCACCCTGCCTCTCCTGTTCAAAGAAGCCACTTTTTCACCCTGCCCTTCCTTCCCTCTCTCCCTGCTGGCTGCTCCTAGTTTTAATCAAATCCATTTAAATAATAGATCACAGAATCCCAGGATGGTTTGGCTTGGAAGGGACATTAAAGCCCATCTGGTTTCAACTCCTGCCACCTAATTTTGCTTTCCTTAACTCTGGGATCTTCTTGGAGCACAGTTTGCAGCTCCCCCTGCTACTCTTCCACATGGATTTGTGTGTAGCCACTCACCAGGAATAAATCCTGACATCCCAATTTTTTTTAGGGTGTGTGAAGTTCACATTTACCCTCATTGCACCACTCTCCCCTCAGCTCCACTTGCTCATCTTCCTGTTGGGATTGGAGGGGAGAGAGAACTTTTTTGGGGCTTTTTTTTTTTTTTTTTTTTTTTTTTTTTTTTTTTTTTTTTTTTTTTTTAATTATAATTATTACTTTGGCTTGGGGTTTGTTTTGTTACGTTTTGTTTGGGTTTTTGGGGTTTTTTGTTTGTATTTCTCTTTGCTTCTAGGGTTGGACCTTCCCATTTTTATCAAATAAAAATCTGGCATGAAGACAAACCCCCCATATGGGTTTTTTTTTAATTATTCCTAATTAGCCTATTTTACCCTTCAGATAACTCTGTAGTCTTGGAGAAAAGGAGCAGCATGGACAGGTCTTAGATAAAACAATTCCCTTTCCTTGCACCTTAGGACAGATTTTTTGGATGGAGGATTTCTGAAATGGATTTTGTGATTCCATGAAGAAATAGGAGTATTTCTTGCTGAAGTGGGTTCTGTGATTAAATGGAGAAATGGTAACTCTGAGTTTTATCTAAGGGAACCATGTTTTGCTCTCTTTTAGATGTTTCTCTGGGACAGGACCTGCTGCTTTGGCAGTGAGAGGGGGCATTGGGAACTGGCTGGAGCATGGTTCAGCTCTGGATAGTGCTGAGGGCCTGGAGCTGGACTCCATGATCCTTGTGGATCCTTTCCAGCTTGGAATTGCACTCAGTGATCCCTGTGGGTCTTTTCCAGCTTTGAATTCTCTGTGCTTCCATGAGGGAGCCTTTTGCATTGCCCTAATTTCTCTTTTTTGGGGGGAACTGTTTCATCTACTACTTTGAAGGAGTGAACTTTCTGTTGGTCCTGTTAATTCCCACAGCCATTCACTCCTCACTTCTTGCATCCCACCTGAAACTGCTTTTCTTTCATCTCCAGCCATCTTCCATCAGGATAAAATTATGGACACTACAGGTACAAGCAGTCTTCAGCACAGATGATGTTATAAAAGAAGTTAAATATCTGTGAAAATTAACACATTTCACATAATTTTGTTGCTTTGTTTTTGTATTTGTATTTGGGTTTTTTTTTTTTGCTTTAGCTTCTATTAACTACTGAGTTATACCAGAATCTAATTCTGTGCTGCTTTATTGGTAGAAGTGTGAAGGCCACATCTTTGGGGTTATTTGAGAGATCTCTCATTATTTTGACACTAAAACTTTTTCTTTGAAGGACTGGAACCCAAATGTTTTGTGGCTTAGATACCAGTGGCTTTCTGGGTGAAGAAAACGTAAATTGTTTGCTGTCTGTGCTCCAAAATATGTGTTAGGAAGCACAAAGCTCAACCTGTGGCCAGCAAGTCCAGGCAAGTGTTTAACAGAACAGTGTGAGGGAAAAGGGTTTGCACTAGTAGTGGTCAATGTCTGGAACAACTCTCATGAGGTATAACTTCATCTCTTAAAAAAAAATACAACAAAACAAAAAATTACAAGAAAACCACCCCCAAACCACCACAAAGCAAACAAACAAAAAACCCTCAAACCCCACACTAAGAAAAACTCCAAGAAATAGGGCACTGAAGCAAAAATTGCCAATGTTACAGCTTTAATATATTTTTTGAGCATTATGAAGGGTCTGTGTTGAACTCTGCTTGCAGTTAAGTGTTGCTTCTAGGACTGATTTCATGGAACACCTGAAAGGAAGTCAATTCCTCACATTGTAATATGAAATTCCTTGTTTCAAGCAAAAGGCAAAAAGAAATTGGATGTTTGCAAAGCTTCCTTTTCCTTAAATATTGGTGTCTTTGGAAACAAAAAAATGAAATTAATCCATCATTTTGACTGGTGGACACAATGGAAAGCTGAAGTGATTTTGAGTGGAAGTGCTCAGTGAGGAAGGACTCCTTTGCTCTGTCATTTTAGGCTCCAGGGATTCAAATCTGAAGTCCAATTTTGGGAGCAAACAACTTTCTTTGTGTTTGGCCTTGTGTAATTCCCAGCATTTGAACAAAGCCTGCAACACCTGGATGAATATTCCTGCTTTTATCCCAGAATGAGCTCCAGGCTCACTTGGACTTTCAAGCAAAGCCATTATTGTGGTGCTTCAAGCTGTTCTGAAGATTGAGACCCTCTGTTGTTTGCATTTTCCTATTTTTCAGGATCTCTTTATAGCAAGGAACATTAAGTGTTATTATAAAGTAACTTGCAGGGTTTGTATGGAAACTTCTGGCAATGCAGAGACCAATTTTACTTGGAAAAGCATAAGAAAAGAGTATTTAATGACAGACAACCATTGTTAGTCCTGTGGGAAGGAGCACCTCAGGAGAGCCCTGGAGGGGCTGGAGC